TCTGAACCCCCCACCCCCCAGTCTGGCCGCGGGTTCGAGTCCCGCCCCCGCCCGTCCCGCTCCCCCCAGACATGGCGGTGGCCTTGTCCCTCCTTCCCCGCCCGCCGATCCACCCTCACAGCCCCGTTTCGTCCCCGCCACCCCCCCGGGCGCCCCCGCTCACGGCGAGCTGCGGCCGCGGGGCTGCGGCGGCGATCGGCGGCTCCGCGCACTGTGGCCCCGCCCGCCGCCCGTGTCAGCTAGGCCGGCCCCGCCTCCCGCCGCGGGGCCTGCGCGGGCCGGCCGGGCCGGGCCGGGGGTGTGGGGTCCACAGAAACCCCTGGGCCCTGCTCAGGGACTGTGGATGGCGGGTCTGGGGCTGGAGCAGGAGGAGCTGCTGCTGGGAATCCTTGGGTGGAGGGTGGGAATGGCCACTTCCCACATGGCCTCCGCACCCTCAGGGTGCTCCCTCCCTCACAACCTGACCGAAACCCTCCACAAGGAATCATGAACTGGGAAGGCTTCAGGTTAAAATAACTGCAAGGGATCGGTGTGGCAGATAAGAGGTGACCTTAGGACTGTGGAGGTGTGGCGTCTGCTCACAGCTTTGTTTAGTGGTTAGTGAGTGTGAAGCAAATCCCTTTGGTAATCCCTGCTGAAGCCTTCTCAACAGTCAGAAAACGTTAGGGGGTTTTTTGGCTTCTTATAATGTATGTTAATATCATACACTGGGGTACATTTACTATGTGTCATTTTATTAGTTTTGATTGGACTTTTTAGTCCCCATTACTGTATTTGGAAAAGGACAGAAAATGGGTTTTCTGTTGTTTATGCATCACGTTCCAATTGAAGAGGGCTGTGGTGGCTGACTTCTTGCTATCTAATTTTCAGTGATAAATAAAGCCTGGTTTGCCCAATCTTTTCTCGATCCTACATTTGTTGTAGTCAAACAGCATTCTGATGTAAGTTTTCTCTTTAGATTTCTCTTAGGAGATTAAAGTCATCCCGTGTTCACACGGACAAGGAGTTCTGCTGCGTGAATATCCTCCCAGTGTTAGAAGAAAGGTCACATGAGGGGTTTTCTTTTTTGCAACTATGTAGCTGTTTTGAAGCTTGGGCAAAATCCCAGGCAGCCTTTGACACATCCAACAGGAAGCTTGGTATAGACACTTCCAGGGGAAGAACGTGACTGTGAACAGCACAGGCAAGCAAAGACATAAATAGTCATCAAAGAGATATAATTAGACAATGTACATGCAGTGTTTGAAAGATGAGAAAATAAACAACAATTCAAGTGGAGTTGCTGCTAAGATCAGCAGCCCTTTTCCTCAGAGGCCCTGGCTGGTAAATGCTTTTGCAAGTGGGGGTGGTCCCAAGGCATGTGAGCACTTGCAGAGAATAAGACAGGAGATAAAAATCCTGCTGGAAACATTGATACAGGATTTTATTAGGTTTATTTATTCCACGATTTCTTCTTAGGCATCATGTTTACCTGGCTTTTTGTTTTATGGAGTCAGCCTGACACCCTCACCTTCCTCTCCAGCAGACCCAGTTGAACTCCAGTGTGTCTCTCACAGCTCACACTGCAGCTTTGGGGATGGGTTTTTCTCTGAGAGGCCTTTGTTCCACTTCAGAATTTCACTGTTTCATTCCTGCGAAGGGGAAAGGCACACCTGCCCTCCAGACAGCAAGGGGAGGGCAGCTGCTCTCATTTTCCCATCTGCCTTCCCAGAAGATACATTTTGCCTCATCCGAGCTCTGGGGAGGGAGGGCTGTAATCCAAGCCGAGCTCAGCCTGCTGGGTGTTGTAGTCCATCTGGGACTACAAAGAAGTGGCCTCCTGAGTCGAAACTGCTGGAGAAATGATGTGCCAGGTAGTCACACAGAGCCCCTGTGCAACATCCCCGATTCCCTCCAGGTTCACGGAGAGTGGGGCTGGAAACAGTGACCCAACCTGCAGGGAGATGCATAAAGCTGAGTGTGCATGTGAAGTGTTAAGCTGTATCAAAGTAAAGCTCTTGAAGCCTTCTACCTGCTCAGGACCTTTCTGTTTGGCGCCAGGCCCTCTTTGTTAGCTTGATTATGTTTCTTTCCTCGGAGAGAAAATAGTGGAGAGAATCTGCAGCTCTGGTTCAAGGGTTCCATAGGCATCCAACCATATGGAAACACTTAGCGTGTCTGGGAGAGAAGCAGATGCTCATTTCTGAGTAGGTTTTGGAGACGTTATTGCAGTGCAAAAATAATTACCAATGTTTCCTTCGTGAATCAGCATTTGCCCTTTCAGAGAGAAGTGATCAGAGCTTAAATTTCTGCTCTGAAGAGACGACAGAACCCCTTATCCATCATCACTGCATGTGCCTTCCCTTTCTTCCATAGCTAATGTTATCCATTTGTTCTGCCTCCATCATAAACTTCATTTTTCATGTCTCAGCTACATGTGTTGCATGTGCTTCGTGTTTGCATATAAGCACCTAGAATTCAGGATCTTACACTTAATCTGCAGACCTGATTTACCCTCAATTAATACTGCTGCTGCTGACTTGCTTTTCATTTGAGATCTGAAAATAGGGAATACGTGGAAATCTTATACCAATGCTTTCTGGGTTTCTGTGTGTGTGTGACTTCCAGTCAAAAGCCCTGCAATTCAATTATGACCTTTCTGTTATTTCCCATGGCTTTAGAAACAGCCTCTAGCTGTGATGCTGTGACAAATAGAAGCTAAACAATGCTATTAAAAATGCATGATGCGTGTTCTGCCATATTAGATAACATGGCCACGTTCATCACCCACTAACGCTGCCAGTTCACAGCTTTGCCAGTGCAGCATCCCTCCCACATTTGCTCTGGACAATTGAAGTGGATTTTTGGCTACATTTCGCCTTTCTTCCTTTTCAGTTTTTTTTTTTTTTTAACCTTTTTTCAGTACTCTGAAAATGGTGGTCTGCAGCAGAGACTGGACAGAGCTCATGTTTCTCAGCCTGTAGTTCACTAAGAACCCAAGCCAGTTGGAGAGGCTGATAAACACTGCTTTAGTGAAAAGCAGATACCCAAGTCCCCAGTTCTCTGTGAAGCCACTGCTGCGCTGTTTGAATCCATCACCCTTATCTTTATATCCAGGGCTTGTGCCCACCATCCTTTGCCACTGCGAGAATGGGAGAGTGGCCTCGGTTCTGCTCTCATGGTGGTCGCACCCCCTCGGGGCTGGGTTGGGAGTTCACCAGGCTGGTGCTTTTATGCTTGTCCCTGTAACTCTGGTCAGTCATTGCTTCGGTTCTGCAACACTGCAATTACGGCAGCTGGCAGGACACCTTTTGGGTTCTCCCGATGGGTGCCTGGCTGTGGGCGCGGGTGCAGCAGCGCTGCGGTGTCTCCTGCAGGTACTGGTGTGTTTTGCCTGCCTGAGCTGCCTGTGTGGCCGTGAGTCAGCTCTGGCCCAGGAGCCATCTGGCCGTGCAGCGCCGTGCTGATCTCATCAGGCTGCTCCCGGGAAAGGTTTCTTCACTCAGGCAGAACATTCACAGCTCCTTGGCGGTTCAATCTGTGTGCTGCCAGGACAGCGATGGGCAAGCGGCCATTCCTATCCCTCCCAACAAGCCTTGCCTGCATTTCCTCACACCCTCCCAGAAGGAGAAGGGGCTGCAAAGCCCTAAATACTTCACAGTGGGGCGACTCAGTCCGGTGTTGGGAGCGTGTGCTGTTGGAGCTGTATCAGGGCAGATAACAGTCCTGAGCTCTTGTTATCTTGGCCACCCACACCCATGAAACACAGCCAATTTTAGCCCCTCACCAACTGCAGGCTCAGAAGCACTGACCGCAGCAGCTCACTGTTTTCATCTTCACTGGCCATGATGATCCCTGACTTCCACCCCTCGCAGGCAATGTTGCCTTAGTTTGGGGTCATCCACCTTTCTCTTGTCAAGCAGTGTAACGTCAAAGCAATGTGGCTGATTCACATGCTCAGACACTGATCTTTTATTCTCTCACTCCACAAGTGCTCTGTGAGTCCTCCTGAGTGCTGGCCCTTTTGCTCTCCCTACCTGACTTTTACCTTTAGTCCCTGAACACGAGTCTGGCACAGCACCGGTGGGGGCTGGAGCTGGGCATGCTCTTCCCTCAGCTACCACAGCAGGAGTGTGAGTTTTCCTTTGGAGGGACGGCATTCTCAAAGGGCATGTTAAGCCCTGTTCACCTCCTATATACTGTGGCTCTACCCTTACCTGGGGAAAGGTGAATTCTTGGTGCTCTCCTGCAAGTGATAATTGCTGGGAAGTAGAAAACTGATGAGGATGAGGCAAATTGTATCCTCAAGGTGTGGATTTTCCTCCCAACCTGCTAACATATAAAGTGGCAGATAGTTTTGTTTTTGCTTAGGTTTCACCTCACTATCAAATGCAGGGATGTTTTTTACTGCACAGGGCTGTGGCCTGTGGTTAATGTGAAGGGAGAACTTGCCTGCAGGCGAGGGGCCTGCTCTCACTGGCCTGTCTGAAACACCCTGTGCTCCATCCACCGCTGTGGCTCCTCCGTGACGGTGTTTGAGCCAAACATAGCGCTCTCAAACCACAGGTATGACACGGCTCAGCCACAGCCACCCCAGTCCATCTCAGTCTCCCCAGGGAGGGTTGTGCTCTTGCACTTCCACCCCCCAGTTCCTCCTGAGCAAATCACTGCTTCCTCTGATCTTGGTCCCTTACATCCCCAGCAGATCTGCTGTTTACTCAGATCAACAGGCTTCTGGATCTTACTGCCCATAATGTTCTCCCTGGCTGTGGCGTTGATGGATACAGAGCTCGGAATGAGCGTACGGTAACAGACAGCCCCCAAAATGCTGTGGCATTGACGGCAAGGCCTCTGCAGACTCAGCACATAAAATGGGTCACTACCGAGGGAATTTCACTTCAACGACTCCTCTGTGCCTGCCCTTCTTTTTCCTTGCCCTTGAAGTCATTTGCAGGTAAACAAGTAAAACTAAGACAAGGGGTAACAAAATGAAGGTGAAGAATAGAGAGGGGAAAGTGTCCCACAGTCCCTCTCTGGAGTCTCCATCCACACAGTTCCAACCGGCTGCCTCTCCAGAGCTCTGATCCTGGTGCTGCTGCAGAAAGAAAGGCCCATTGAGAAGCCTGGCTCCAAATTAGCATTTGAATTCCCTTGTAGCCTGTTGTCAGATGGGCAGGAGGTGGGTGCTAGTCTCGGTTGCTCAGCGCTGATACACAAAGGTGGCTTTAAAAGGTCCTTATTTTTCTGAGGAAAAGAAATGCATTGCTCAAACTGTGGATACTTAGTATTTTCCTTTTTCCCCCCTCCTCTCTTTCTCTCTGCCTTTCTTCTCTATTTCACCCCTTTTTCTGGATCAGCCTGAGCCGCAGATAGACACGTCTGGGTATTGTTAGCCCTGTCTGACCTACTTCTCTCCCTCCTCTTGGCCCCGTGCTATGGATGCTGGTGCTATGGAAACCTGGGTGACATGCCAGTGCCACAAAGCCAGGGCCACCAGCTGCACCCTCCATTCCCAGCCCCACGGGAGTTCCCCTCCCAAACATCCCCCTCCCCCAAGAAAGTTAGCAGTGCTGCTTCCCGGGGAAATTCCAGGGTGTCCTCCACCCATCCCATCAAGCGGTGCTCCGGAGGGACTGGGGAGCTCTTCCATGGGCTCGAGTGCTTTTTTCCCCAGTCCCAGGGCACAGTATCTCGGTGCTGGTGGCCACGTGTAAACGCAGTGCTGCCCGCACCAGACCTGTCTGTGCACTTATCCGGCACCGGCCATCACGTCACGGGTAGGAAAGTACACGCGGGCGCCCTTGAAGTTTTCAAGATAATAAGCTACAAAGTTCTGCACCGGAATAGAAAAGCCTTGCCGGGAGCCTGGATGGGATGGATGCTGTGCCTTTACCGTCCCTCGCGTGGGAAGCAGCCCCGCGGGGACGGAGGGTTGTTTACAAATTCAGCCTCTGCACTTCTCGTGATTAAAAAAAAAAAAAAAAAAAAAAAAAAAAAAAAAGGGTTCTCGCTGGTTCTGCGGGTTTCCTTTGCTCTCTGCCGGCCTCCCGTTCGGCTGGCTGCTTCTCCTGGGAGACTGTGGTATTATCAGGGTGGATTTGCTTCCAATTACCTCACGCCAAACCTTTTCCTCCTCCCCGTTGCTGACAATGAACTGGCAGCCGTAAGGGGAGGAAGCAGGAAGGAGCTCGGGAATCCGCACGGCGCTTGCAGAGGCTCTTTGAGCGTGTCGTAAGCGTCTCCAGGAGATTCCCGCGAGGCTCCAGGACTTCTCCAATCCAATAATCTTAATGCCAGAGCCCGGCTCGGCACGGATCAAGCTGGAAGCAGGCGGGTCGTGCCTGAGTGCCGTGCCGGCTGCCCGGGGAGCGCTGCCCCGGGCATGTCTGGGGTGCGGCCGGGGATGCCCCGGCACAGGCGGCGGGACGGGGGCGGAGGTGGCGGATTCTCTCGGACCCCCCGGACCCTTCGGGCACCCCGGGACCCCCCGCCCGCAGCCGCGGGGCACCAGCGCCCTCTCCCGGCTCCGGAAGGAAGCGGCGGGGCCGGGGCGGCCGGAGCGGGGACACAAATCCCGGGAGAGAGCCGGGACACAAATCCCAGGGGGCCTTGGGGACACGAATCCTGGGGAGACCGGAGACACGAATTTCAGGGGGGAGTGGGGACACGAATCCCGGAGGGAGCGGGAACACAAACCCCAAGGGGGGAGTGGGGACACAAACCCCCTGTGGGAGCAGGGACCCGAATCCCACGTGGCAGGGTGGACACAAACCCCATGGGGGAGCGGGGACATGAATCCCAGGTGGAGCGGGGACACAAATTCCGGGGGAGAGGGGCTAGCAGAGCGGTTCTGACCCCCATCGCGGGGGCAGGGGGGACCCTCACCCCCAGCACTGGACATGAACTGTTCAGCAGTGCCAATAGAGGTCAGATCTCCCTTACACTGGAGTTCATGGGTTGGCCTTCACACCAGTGGGACGACGGCCTGGGGTGGCAGGGGCAGCCCCCCAGCACAGCCTCTGCCAGCCCACTGGCCCCTCAGCACGTCTGCAGCAGATGCAGGCGGGCAAACCGGTGCCACAGAGCACCAGCACAGCGTGCTGGGCAGCAGACTGTGAACTGGGTAAATCCTGAACTCGTGGCCTGCATGGCTGAGCCATTGACCAGTGCAAAGCTGTTTTCTTTGACTGATGAAGCAGCAGAGCAATGACAGCAGCCCTAGTGGAGGGGAACAGCTTTCCTTCTGCTTGGGACACATGAAATGGCCCCTCTGACAGTGGCTTGAAGGGCCAGTGATGTGCCTGGCAGGGTTTCTGTGGCAGAACCAGCGATGGCAGCCAGAGCCTGACTGCGTCATGCTAGGATTGTTAATGGTGTGCTGTGCATCCAAGGGGAGAAGCTGGCTACAACTCACTGCTGAATCATTAATTTCCCTCCTCTGAGTCATTCTGCAGCCCTGTCACACACAGAGTGGACACAAGTGGAGCTGAGATGGGTAGTGGCTCCAGGTTGATACGGCGGGCTTAGAAAATTGGTTGTAGGATAAAAGACAGAGGTTGTGTCTGCAGAACCACTGAGCACCCATTTGGACTAACCCCAAACAGAGGGGTTTTGACCTGGAGTCAGGACCTGCACCAGTAGCTGGTGAAGACTGGAGATCAGCTTCAGGAGATGGTGGGACCTGTTAATGTAAAGGCTAAGTGAAATCTCCCTGGGGACAGGTGGTATGTCTGTCCCTCCCTTGCGAGGCCCAGACCTTGCTAAGGCACAGCCAGGGTTAAACTATGCTCAGCCTTTTTGGAAGTGTGGCACCAAAGGTGCCAGGGAAAAAGTTGTTGCTTATCTCACTGTGACACCCGGGGAGTTCCTGTGATGATGGGACCGTGCTGCACCAAAAACTTTGTAGAGGCAAGTGCTGTACAGTTATTTTCGTCTGGCTTTAAGCCTTCCCCTGCAGTTTTTGCCAGCCTCGATGCAGCGGCATCCAAGGCGGGAGAGCCCAAAAGCAAAATAGACTGGGGGTTTTGCTGGGTAAGCCAATTTAAAATGCAGGGAAGGAAAGGAAAAAATGTGAAGAATTAATCACTTCCTCCAAAAAGCCCTTTGTTCTTACAGTTTAGATATGCCTGCTGTTGGTGAAGGGAGGGGTGACCAGCAGGCTTTCCAGTGTGGTTGGACTGGCAGCATGCTCGTGCAGTTATTTTTGCTCTCTGGGCTTGGTGTGAATTCCCCCTGTGACGACACAGGGAGCATTCCTGGTGTTTCCTGAGCTGTGTCACTAACAGCAGGGCACCAAATGCACCAGTGGCCAAAAGCATCAGCGTTGTGAATGGTAGACTCCTGTGAAAATCCAGCCCTTCCTGACGCAGGTGGGACTTGAGCACTGTGCAAACTGCCCACTTCTTGGTGCTGAGCAGCTCAGCACCCAATCCGTGAGCTCAGCATCTCCAAAAATCACCTTCTCCCTGCTCTGAGCTCTCCTCCTGTGGCACACAGGGTTGCAGGCTGCGTTGGACTGCACATCAGGGAAACCAAGGCAGCCAGCTTGCATTCAAACACTCATGTTGCTGTTCTCTGCTAGCTGCAGACTCACAAAGAGCCACCTAGAACAGCAAGTTCAGTGACTTTTTAATTGTGCACCTTGTTGCTGACCAGTATTGGGAGTTGCACAGACAGCAGCGATGAGTTTGTGCAGTCAGATGGGCAATGGCTGATGAGCAGCATGAGGGCACTAACAGACCTTTGCATAACATGTGGCTGCTTCTGTTTGCCCCTCACCTCTTTTGTTATGCCTCAGCCCACATTAGATTCCAAACAAATGCCTTTAATAGGTGTGGACCTTAAGAAAACTGGCATGAACCTGTGTTTGATTCCCTGGCTGAAGGCAGAGCCACTGGAGAACAGGGGACACATGGCAGTTCCCTTGGGCAGCTCACTGGGAAGCTCAGAGTGAGAAGAGTTTGCTTTTATGTGTCCAGCTTTCCTAAAACTCTCCTTGTTTTGGACCGTTGCTGTTTCGAATGATGGAGCTGCCAGATGTGGAGCACTTGGCACACAAAGTGCCCTGGGGGAAAAATACCTCCTGAAGAGCTCAGTAGTTCTGCTGGTGCTGGGCAGCGAGAAGGGAGGTGATAATAGCTCAGGTGAGGGTGGATTTGTTGCTGGGGGCTGTGTGAGTTGCAGCAGGTCTGTTCCAGAGGGCAGGAGGGAGCAGGAGCCCAAGGTGAGGACACTGATGAGGGACAGAGGACTGGGTCACGCTGTGAGAAGCTGGAGGACGTTCAGCCCCATGTAGTGGGAGAGCAAGGAGTGCAGGATGCCCAGGGCTGATGCTGCAACGAGAATCCAGAGAACTCCAGTGGAAAAGTATATGGGGGCGAGCCTGGTGGGAGAGAGGCAGGATAGTGAGACTGAGTATCCTGCCTGAGAAGTCCCTTCCTCTCTGCAGAAGTGGGGTGGAAAAGCAGCCCCTGGCTGTTCCCTGCCCCCTGTGTGGGGTGCCATGCCCTGCTCCTGCTTCCAGGGAGTACAAACCCCCTAAAAGGGCTCAGTGCAGCTCCAGCCTTACCCCCTGTATGTGTAGGTGCCCCCAGCCCTGTATCCGTGCCCACCTTACACGTCAGAGACAAGGCTGTCATGCAGGAACCCCAAAGCATCCAGGAGTCCTGAGCTCCCCCAAAGCACATTATGTTCCCAACTACAACTCCCCAGGGGTTACCAGGCACTCCAGGCTCTGGCAGAGGTGTTTACCTTTCTGAAGATGATGTCCTGTATCCCGTAAAGTAGCAGTAGCGGGAGTAGAGATAGAGCAGCCCCAAGGCTGCAGCCAGACCTGTGGTGAAGAGAGATCACAGTCACCAGCTCCAAAAGCTTTTTGGAGCCACTTAGAGCCACAGAGGTAGCCCAAAGAGGAGGAATAGAGATTTTGTGTCCTCTGGCTTTACCCTCCCTCAGAGACAGAATTACTGCTTAATTTATTATTCAGAAGGTAAGAAGGACCTGAGGACTGAGCCAGCACTTAGGGGAACAGATCCAGTGACAAATCAGGTAATGGGATATTCTCACCTTGATGGAAGAAGAGTCCAGCTTGCCACAGAACTGCCAGGAAAATGGGAAAATACTCAGAGGAGTTCACCCTGGCAGGAAAGAGGAAGGTCACAAACAAAGGAAAGAAGGAAGCTCCTCCTTTTTTGGTTCCCCAATCAGTTTCCAGATGCTGGAGGCTATTGTTTTTCAGAAGAGATGTTGCCATAAGAAGCCTCCAGGTTTGCACCTTTCCCCACAGTTCCTGTCCCAGCTTTATTCACAGAAATTAGACAGTGGAAGGAACTGGGTCTCCAGGGCACAAAAAATTAAGCAAAAGATGCCCAGGTCAGTCTGTGCACTGAAAGGCTTTGTGAACCACCCCCAGTCCCTCTTCCCAAGTGCCACAACCCCAAACCCTTCTATCAGTGTCCCAAAGGCCCAGGGAAGAGCTGCAGGGAAGGTCTGACCCTCAAGCAGAGCAGCTTGGCTTCATGCAGGAGTGGGAGGGAGCACATGGCTGCTTGGGTTGTTCATACTCTGTGCCACCATGGACACCCCTCGGCTAAAACCAGCCGAAATCTCAGGCACCAAGAGCTGTCTTCAGCAGCCCTTCACTGCACAGCAGATTCCTACGTGATTTCTCTCAGCAATGGCTGGTTTAGGACTCAAGAACCTGCCCAATCTTGATGTTGGCTCTTCAACCCAGTAACTAAACCCGAGAGAGATGAGTAAAAGGAATGGCAAAGCAGGGGAAAGGCAGTGCCATTACACATGAGATCTGGCAAACATCAGTAGAAGGAGGTTCTTACTGTGCTCGAAAGACCCTCTCAAATTCAGGTGGGCCTGAGGTCTTTGGAGGTGAAATGCCAAACAACCTCCTAGCATAGATCACCTGGAGGAAGAAGTAGGCTGCAGCAAAAGAGAGAAAAGTAGCAGTGGTCAGTCCTGTGGCTGGGCACAGCGGGGTCAGGAGATGGTCAGAAGTTGAGGAAAAAGATCTTCAGGCTCCTCCTGACCCCAGAACCCAGCATAGCAGAGGAAGTTAGACTAAAATCCCAGATGCCTTTTAGGTATGAAAAAGGAATGACCCAGTGCAACAGCAAAGTGAGGAGTATGCAGTCATGTATTACTGGTGTGGTGTTATCTGCTTTCTCTCTTGTGTAATTAAGATATCCTCATTTCCACAGAAACTGTTACACAACTCTGATGCACTTTGTTACTCACACTTTTCTTTTCAATCTTTCCGTTTTTTTCCTCCTTCCAAGTTCTGGCTGAGTAGGGACAGAACTGATGTCACAGACAAATCACCCAGACACTGAATTAAATTGTCATGCAATGTGGACCCATGGCTGGGTGGTTCTGTGTGACCCATCACAGCCCCTCCTTCCACATTTCCACACTGCAGAGCTCTTTTTAAACTCATAGATGCACACACTCCAGGAACTGCTGTAAACCCAGTGAAAGAAATTCTACATGTCTGTAGAGGGAAAGATCAACCAAGACACTCCCAAACAAAGGAGGCAGACTACTCTCAGAGGAAAGGCTTCCCAGGCACTCATTTCATTGAATATTTTCCAAAACCCAGACAAGATATCAGTTTACTGTCTGAAAAGCAGAAAAGTGCCAGTGCAACAGCAGACATTAAATATGAAAATGAAAGAAAATCAGTGGAGTAGCAGTAGACTGACCCAGCAAGTATTTGAGCATGTGCACCTGATGGTCCCTACCTTGCTCCAGGACTCCCAGGACTGTCACGGCAGCGAGTAGATGAATCTGATCCAACATACTGACTCTTGCAAGCCCTAGAAAATGTGATTTCTTGCTTAGAAGCTCCTCTGGCCAGGTTTAGTCTTTGCTGATGTGGCAGTTGGCAGTAGTAGCTGGCAGCATAGGTTTGGTCTAATTGAACAAACAAAGGGAAGATCTAGCCTGTGGTACTCACACCCAGGAGGAGTCTGACTTGCTGTTACCATATGCCCTGTGGAAATGGAAATCAGTGGAGACAGGCATTTCCCTTCCTGCCCACCCTTTTCCAAGAATGGGTTATGAGGCAGTGGAAAAGCAGAGAGGGAAGATGTGAGAGATAAAGGAACTGGGAGCTGAATGGATGGACAAATTTCAAAAGGCTGGTGATCTGCTTCCCCAGAGGCATCCGCTTTAAAATGCATGCCAAGGCACGTCCCTCTCTTTGATGCTGTATGAGAAACCAAATGGGCTGTTGTGCCCCACCAGAGTAACGTGACAGGCAGTGTTCCAAGGTACATATCCCTGTGTACATATCCCTACACAGACTCTGGATATCATGTGTTGGGCACGGAGAATGACTTCTGGCCACAACGCTGAGACAGCGTCGAATCAAACCCCTGCATGAAAAACCCTCTGCAAGGGTAAGACAGGATGTGATAAAGCATAAAAATCTCTAGATCTGTCTTGCACAGTGACACTTTATTTGGGGATGTGTTCTGCAGAACAACTGTCAGACACCCAGAGGGCTTCAGAGCCGGGCCTCGTAGTTGAAAGACTGGAAGCTGTGCATTTAAGGCTTCTGATCAATCCTCAGCCAAACAAATTCTCCCTGTAAGCACCAGAGAAAGTTCTGTGTGGGGAAAAACCTGCAGAATTCATTAGGATATAGCAAAAGGAAAATGATGTTTTCACATGTCAGGAGACGCCCACTTTGATAGTTCCCTTGTAACAGCACAAAGCAGGGCCCGGAGCTGCTGGGACAGCCAGCTTTGTTTCCTTCCCCTCCCTTCACTCGAAGAGTTCTCCCATCAGAGCAGGGAAAAAGGAAAGAGGGTTAAGGCAAAGTGCTCACTGAACACCACTATTATAGGAAATTATATTAAAGAAGGTTACAGGAATTACATTGTATGCCCAATGTCCTTGATAGGCTTTCTAAGAAGCAATGTGCTGGGTCTGGTCTTCTGCCTCTCTATGGATTATAAAGGCACCCTAAATGGCTATAACAATGTCCCAGCTTAGTGTTGCCCCAAATATGAAACACACCCCACTCTGTTTCTCATGCACCAGCTCTAAGATTCATTCTTTCACCTCAGAATAGAACCTTTTTAAAAGGTTCAAAAAGGGCAAAGGTTTCGAAGTGCTTAATAATGTTTGATTTCCCTCTGCTCCTGTCTGATTACAGCCCACTAACAAAAGAAAATACAAAGCAAAACAGAAGATCTGAGCTTACCCTTCCATCAGAGGACAATGGAGTGTAAGGGAATTTGAGCCAGGAGCAGCTGTACAGGCTTACACAGAACTCACCCGCCCTCCAGATCATCATTAGACACAAAATTCTTCTACTATCATAAATTAGCATCGTCTAAGTATAACGAAGGCCAGTAGAAATACGAATGAATAAACAAACACAGACGTCTCTCCCCTCCTCCTCCCTCCCTCGTACGCATAATTTTTCAAGCTGGTCTTAAACTCCCAAAGGACGCATTTTTCTTGTCCCTGGTTGTCACCATCAGAACTTGCTTATCTTCCATTCTCACTTGGTGTTTGCAAGAACAGGCAAACCTCCTGAACACGTACCCTCCTCCCAGTGCCAAACACCCCTCGATGCGGGGACTGTCACTGGTGGACAGCCTCAGCACCCTGCACACATCAGCACATCGCAAAACCTCACCTACCGAGGCTGGCACGGCCAAATTTCCTCCTAAGCAAAGGCAAGTCCTGAATCCCAGGTGCACCTTGGGGTGGGTTTTCTGAGCAGGAGCTACTGAAACGTTCTCTCCCACTTCCCAGCTCTCCACTCCAAGTTAAACTGTGTGAACATGGCCCTGGCTCAGGGAGGCTGGACTAGCGTGGACCAAAGTCCTCGCACGCACCTCCCACTGAGTCATCACGGCAGGCATTTCTCTGTGCCCCTGGTTGTTTATACCACCTCTTACTACAGCCAATAATCCTTTCTCCCTCCTCATTAATTCCCACGGCAGGGAGACACTGTGAGCTGGACTGCGACACCGACAGGGGTTAAAGAAATAATCTCAGGAAGAAAAATGATCAGCACAAAAGGCTTAGAGGAGTTTTAAACATCCAGAGAGTTTGCAGGACTCATTACTCTCCAGTAGCAACAGAGCAAGGAGTAGTCAGCAGCGCTGAGTCCAGCACCTGCAGTAATATCCCCTAGAAAGGTATTTCAGGAGCCTACAATGCCAAGAGCTTCCTGACAGTGGAAGGGGGGACATTTTGCAGATGAGCAACTTACCCTTCAGCTGTGAAGCGCGAAGGAGCCTTGTCCTTCCAATCGTATTGTACAAATATGGAAGTATTTTCTAATCTAGGTCGGACTTTTCCTTCCTTTCCTTTGAATTCTTTTGCAGCCAACGAGTACATCCAAATGTGTGACTGTGGAACTGCTCTCAAGAATAATTACTGTCCTTCTAACAGCCACATAGAAAAAAAGATGGGAGGTCTCATTCAAAAGAATTTCTTCTCACAGGAAGTGTTTTTCTAGTTCGAGAGAAATAAAGAGAGCTCAGCCCCAAGCGACTCAGTCTGTTCAAGTAACAGCTCCTCAGCTGTTACTGAGGTGATGGGGTTGGGGACGTGCTCTCCTGACCTCCCACACCCAGGAAGGCTTCTGCGAGCTCAGACCAACGTATGTTGAGATTTTCCTAGAATTCTTGGGTTTTTCATCTGTAAAAGGAAGGACAGGCTCAAAACATAGCAAGAAAATGCCAATTCATTATTTCACCCCTTAGGGAGACACAGCTGAACACACGTTCCCAGTTCCCAGGAAGTGGGGACAGCTGCAGACAATTTCTGCTCTGCAGCTCCCACTAGGGCTCCAAGCAAGGCGCGAGCTGGCTCGGACCTCCTGAGAGATTTGAGATGTTTCCTGGGTTTTGCATTTTGAAACAACCATAAAACCTTGGCATGGTAAGAATTACCATGCCTCCCTAAGATCTGCATCTGCAGGGAGGCTCCTCCTTTCACAAAGTAAAAGAGCAGGTGGTTGTTTTTGCCACCAACATCCTGGCTGGCACTGTGCGACTTATCCCTCGGAGTACAAACTCAGTGTGCATCAGAGATGTGCCTCAGCCTGTTTATCCAGACTGATTTCAGGCAGACATTCCTGACATTTATATATCTGTGGCATATCAAAGAGGTCACATAAATGTTCTCAAGTGTTCAGTTATAGCGAAATTTCTAAGGGCTAAACCAATCCCTGGGCAGCTTGAATGTTGCTACATGGAGCAGGAACACTGCTGAGCACGTGCTTGCAGAGCTTCTCATCCCCGTGAAGGTGGAGAGACTTTAAATAGGAAAAACATCAGAAGAAATTTTCCAAAAAAGCAAGATGGAAGGCTGAGTCTGTGGAAAACTATATAAATGAGTATATATACTCACTAAGTTAAGGATAGTTTGGAGAAATTTTTGAAAAAGCTTTCTTCTAATGGAATTTGGTGAGCATTATCTGTATGCATATTAAATATGACTGGAGGGCACATCAGTACAAAGGTGATGCCAAAATTCGCCACTTAACCCATCATCAAAAGGCACTGATACATGCAAATGAATAATACTCCTTCTTTTATGATCAACGTCTGTTAAAAATATTAATTACATCTCTCTCTTGCCCTGCTTTGTGATATTGTCACACAAGAAAAATCTTCTTCGTATGTTTTGCCAATTTTCCTACTCCCTGTTCAGCAGAATGTCAGAAATAGCAAATAAACAAAACAGAACAATGCAAGAAAGGCAACTGCACTTCTGAGTAGTTCGAAGAACAATAAATCTCTGGAGTGATAAGTGCATATGGCAGGGAGGGGGAGGATTTCCCTTTGCTGAGGGACAAACAAGCCTTTCAAACATCTTTGGCAGCTCTTATGTTAACACACACTTAGTATTATCCCATAATGATATGGGGGGAAAATTGCAAGGCTACAGAGTACATCAAAATACATCAAAGTCTGAAGAGGGGTCATGGAGCACAGCTTCTCTTTTTCTAAATTATAGAGGTGAAGAAATGGAACTATTCAGCGTTTCTATCTTGTTTGTACAGAAAGCCAGATGCTGGCCAGCCCTACCTGGTTATGAGGGAGCAGTTGACAGGGCATTGGAGAGGGGCAGAGTGCAGGCAGCTCTAAGGAAACACTTTCCAGGGAGGAGACTGGAGCTCCTGATAGGTCTCCTGTGAAGGAAAGACCCTTGGCTTGCCAGATACATACAGAGTCATGGGAATTCTTCTGAAGTGGGGAGGTGATGCTGTGTAAGGTCACGTCTGCAGGTATGGGGCAATCAGGAGGGCAGTGGTCCCTCTGCCTTACAGTGACTTTTCACACCACAGTCCTGTCCAACATGGGGTTAAGGGAAAGGGGGTGATTTGGAGGGAGGTCTGCAGCAGGTCCTCATGGAGCTGCTCTTCCCTCCTTGCTTATTGCTCTGGGACTGCGCCCAGTGGAGCCTGAGCCCTGCTGAGGGTCCTGCCTTGTGTCACCCTGTTCATAACCCTGGGCCATAGGTCAGCCAGACAAACACAGAGGGTGAGACCACAGAGTGTCCAGCCATCAGCATGGGACAAGGGATGACGCCCATGGAGGGCAGAAGGTGCTGGAGACAGTGCAGCTGGATATGCTGGGAAACAAACAGATGTTTCTGTAGAGCCCCTCTGACGTCAGAGGTGTCAAAGTTTTGAAATATATCTTTGGAATGAACCAAACGATGCAGATGAGAGCAGGACATCACTTGGACTGCTGTTCTTTTAACTCTTCTGCTGTCACGCTCCCAAAAGATGCCCTGAGTGGTGTGCTGGGCAGGGAACAGACCCCCAGCGAGGGGCACACACACCGTGAGGCTGCAAGCACAGTGTGAGCAGAGTGAAGAGGCTGCTCACGTCACAGAAATCGCTGAGTCCAGAGAAACATAAACAGGCTCTGTTCCTTCTCCCAAATCCAAAGGAGAAATGAAACAGAGCCAGCCTCCACATCTCCCAGGGCACAGGACCAGGGAGAGAGACCAGGGTCACAAGGTCAAGATCTGGGTGTGGGAGCAGATGCGTTTCTGGTTACTGGCCATCAGTTGTTGTAGCATTTGCGTGTCAGAGCCTGGCCGAGGTCAAGTTCATCTGTGAGTACTTGACAGTGGTGGCAGCTGCAGGGGGAGCTGTATTGGGGACAGTCCCTGGGGAGAGGTGCACAGGAGTATGACTCCTCTGGCCTCATGTGGAGCCCAGACACTGCATGAAGCTGCCCCAGCCCTGCTGTCCCCCAGCAAGGGCAGATAACTCCTACCATACCTCCGGTTAGAGTGCACCATTTAAGATACCAGAGTCAAGACTCCTTCTGAGCCTTTCCCTTTCTGTCCCAGCTCCTGGGTTGCAAAGCTGGGTTAAGAGCAATCCCAAAGACAAAAGCACCCATCCTAGCTCTGGTCTTCTTCCAGGACCTTCTGAGCGACTTCAGCTTCCCCAGCTATCGAGTGCTGGCCCACAGAGGCAGGCAGTGAGGGGCTGTTTCCTGGGAAGCCAAGACAGACAGACAGACAGACAGAGGCTGTAGGTTAGAAAAATTTACTCTTCCTGAAGGCTTTTGAGAAGTGTAAATCTGTGAAGAGTTGTACATCAGATCTTGTTTTTTAATCAGTGTAAAAAATTTAGTAAACAATTAGAAACATGTTTTATGTCAAATTTAATTTGGATATTTTTGAGTTTGCCTCAGATTTACATCTTAATTTTCATAAAGAGAGGAGGATCTCTGATTCTTTTTGCTGCCTTGTAAAAAAGGACCAGAAAACTCACAGCTCACTCCACTTCTACCTTGGATGAAGGTTGTCCAGCAGAAACAAAAGGAAAGATTCTCATCACTGAATTGATGGACAGATTAAAAATGTACCTGTTCAAAGGACGAAGTCTTAGATTGAAATAATGAACGAGGCGAATGCTGAGCTTGGGCAAAGTAAGTCAGAGACTGATTCCAGTTCCACGTAAATGTATTTGTGAAAATGAGAGTCTAATGGGCCAAACATTTAGAATCAATGAAAGAAATGAACTGGAAACGTAAAATCAAAATAGTGAGCTTGTTTGATACACACCTGGATAGTTTGTTTGACACCAGATAGTTATAATACACAGTTTCTATATGCAGGCAAGCGAGGAGGCAGCTCAGCCCCTTCATCTTGAAGGGTTAGCACACTGAAAGAATTCAAGCTCTTACACAGCCCAGTTTCTTGATGGAAAACTAAAGCACGATGTTTTTGACTCTGGAATTTGTGTTTGAGAACACCAACATTCCCTAAGGCACAGCTGATGTTTTTATTAATCTTAATCAGTTCTATCTCTTCATTCCTCCTCATTCTTTTGAGTTTCCACTGAGCTTAGTAGCAGCTTGCCTTTATAATTTGATTTATTTCTTTCAGTTATGGTACTCGCCACATGACTAATTCAAGTCTTGAGTGATAAGATCAAACTCTGAGCTATTTGACTTGAAAATGAAAGCAAAGGTTGTCATGTTCCGCTTGTGTAACCTTAACTATTCCTTTCCCTCTCATGCCAAGTATTTCTATGGCTGACCAGAATACCTTCATTTGCCTATCTGCCCATATATCAAAGGAAGCCTCTCATCCCCCAAATTCTGCTTGCTTTAATAGCCAGAGAGTTCTGAAATAAATCCCCACCTCCACACTCCCTACACTAGAAAGTTTCTACATTAGAAAGCTTCCGCATCTCCTGTCACTACAGAAAATACTACACCATTTAACTTGCATACAGCCACAGTGCTGCATCTCAACCCCTGACTCATCATTTCCCCTGGAAACATTGTTAGAATGGTCATGTTTAGGGGTTTTTGCAATTTCCAGGTTAATGGTCAGCTGAACTGAGACTGGGGTAAAGCTAAGCTCAGGACAGCAAAGAACAGCAAGAACACCTCACCCTTAGGGCCATGCTGATCACTGGTGTTACTCTGAACTGGAAGAAAACCCAGTGGATCCCATATTCTCACTTAAATCTTCTTGGGTTGACATGTTCTCGCCTAGATCTGCTTCAAAAAAGGTTCTTTGATTTCTGAAATAACTCTTAAGCATAGTTTCCTTTCACTCCCCCATAATCAAACAGTAGTGGCAGCAAGGCCCACACTCGGCAGGGAAGCCCAGAGGAAAGGCTCTGGTAGGAGGACTTCAGGGATCTTGTGGGTGCTTGCCGGTGATGTGGACAGCCTTGGCTTCCCATCTGAAGGGTTTTCAGATGCCTACAAAGATAACATAGACCTCACAGGCTGCATCTCTGCCGCAGCCCGATAAAAGGAGAGGCTACGACAGCACGAGGGGTTCTTGCTCTGTGGTAGGTGTTTATTAACGCAGGGACACGTGAGGGTACGGAGTCAAGGACACAGTCCCCAACTGAGGGGAGAGCTAACCCTTATATAGGGTTCGGGTGGAAGGATCTGGAAACTGGGAGGAGCATGGGACTAAACAACCAA